CTTTGTCATTTTGTACAAAATTGAACAGATTATTGCAATAAAATTGATCGAATTCTATGGTTCTGACATAGGTTAATTGATTTTAACTGAAATAATTACAAATATCAATGAATAGGTCCACAAAAAAACATGAGAAAAACACCTTCCAAATAAACGTTTCAAGGCGCGAAATACGTTTGAACTGATTACTGCGACAAGACTATGACAATGATGCTCAACATCTGACAGAACTGTTACTAGGGCTTTCTTCGTGTTTTACTGTCGCGATAATGTTAATAAAACGAGACAATTTTTAAATAAGGTCACTGTGTCATTTTGTCCATATATACACCATTTGTCTGTATTTCTTCTACTGTTAATTTTTGTTGCAATTAAACTTTAGTTAGTTGATTTATGATTAACAGAGACTTTATTTTATTAAAATAGATAATTTCAGGGTTTTTTTAAGTGCTTTTGATATGATTAAGGGAGTATTCTACTGTAGAGGTATGAATTTCGCCCGGTTTTTGAAGCGCTATATAAAGGAAACAAATAATAAGATTACTATCGATTTTTTTATCATTTGTTTATTGATATTTTATTATTACACAAAAAATTATTAGAAAAAAAATTAAAATTCACAAAGTTATGAGCAGTCAAAGTGGGGGCTCAACAAAAAAGAGGGTGTCCTGGCGTGCATGATTTCAACCCTCCTGGTGATTTGAAACATAAAAAATAGATGGATTCTTAATTATTATAGATGCCGCTATCGTATGAACCTTGGATATGTTAAAAAAAATTTTTTTGTTTGAATGGCGGCAGTTTGAAAAAAAAAATATTTTTTTTCATGTTTTTTTAACAATACCGAATTTTTTAAAAATACTATATGAAAAGTTATAGTTTTGGGCAAGGTCCATACGATAAAGAGATGTATAGAGAAGATCCTCTTCAAATTTGAAGTAAATCGGTTCATTAGAACTCGAGATATCCTTACCGCCAGCTCGAAAAAAGTAGTTCCGAGAAAAACGCGTTCAAAGTTTTGAGACAAGTCGGACCCAAACCGAGGCCACGTCACTAAAACGGCTATAACTCTGGAAATTATAGAAATTTTGAAAAATCCTTTTAATGACATATTTTTGAATAACTAACCTTTGAAAATATGAAAAAAAAAATTCGATTTTTTCAAAATTCTACAGTAGAATACCCCCTTAAGGCGCCTACTCTCCTTAGTCGCACCACCTACAGTCTAACTACGAAAGTCGTAACTACGAAAAATTTAAGATGCCTCCGAACATTTTTCTGTAACTTCAAAAATCTCATCGTTTATTAAAAGTTTATCGCGTTGAAGATAAAACTGAATAATTTTTGATTCGTAAACATATTTATTTTTAAAGGATTAGAATTTGTTTTAGCGTATATTATTAGGAAAGTTGTGCAAATACTATATTATGATATCAATTGAAATACTGTTCTGTAATTATGGAAGAAGTAATATAATATTGTTTGTACATTTTGAGCACAAAATCTTAAACTTTTTGTCGGTCTTCTAATAATCATTAAAACAGATTCCAATAAATCAATTCGATTTTAGTATTGTATAATAATAATTAACTCTGATCTATTTTTCATTAGTTGTCTTACCAACGCCCGCTGATCGAGGTATCGTCTTCGAACTATCATTTTATCGAAGAGAATTATCCAGAAATCAGTCAGCAATGTTGCAAAAGCCGCGTCTATTGGCCAGGCACCTGGTATTAGTAGACCTTGATCGTTTGTTCGACAACTACCAAAAAATCTAATTTTTTAAAATAATCTGTAACAAGCAAACATGTATAAAATTGAATAATATATATTGAAAATAGACTAATAAAAATAGTAAAATTGAAAAACAAACGTGAATTTGTTTTATTTATGCTCAAAATGTACTAACAATATCTAATTTTAGGTTTTATAGAGTTATTGTAGATATGTAAGATAGCCATAGCATAGTATAATAGTCAATAAAAATTGGATATAAAAGCCAAAAACTTTCTGATATATGCTCGTATTAAATTTAATTTTGACGATGCATAAACCGATTTGGATTTGAACTTGAGAAATTTGGTGTCTAGTGGAAATAGTTGATTCTTAAAACCGGTTCTTATGAGAAAATGTTATTTTTAGAAGAAAATCCCGATTTTCAATGTATAAATAAACACTTAAATTCCAAATGTACCCAGATTGTCGAGAACAGTAAAACACTGTTGCAAATCGATAGCCCTTAGTTTTACTATTATTATTACATATTTAAAATTATATATAAACAACGAATAAATAATTGTTTTTAAAGTTATTATTATTATATTTAATTCTGGTCAAATATTATTTTTCTATTCTAATAAATTGCATAAATCAAATTATTATAAATAAAATTGAATAGTAAATTAAAAACTGCTTTTAATCCCCCGAATTTTTTTGTTAAAATTTTCTCAACGAATTGTTCGATCAATTAGTTTTTTTTTATCAAAATTTGAATCTGATTAAAACTAGTTTCTGAAAAAATACTATTCGAAAAGTTTTCTGTCGGTTTTTCGGTTTCATGTCGCTTTTTGTACAATCTCTAATTTCTAGTAATGTAGTGCTTAATAATTTTTACAATTTCATTATAAATATAAATACTTTTAACAAGGCCTTTATCAAGTTTTCTATTCATTGTATGTTCATAACAGAACAGTTAATATTAATATTAATCTAAAATTAACCCAAAACTAATTATCCGTAAAAAGCTCCAGAAATTTGGTTACGTATAAAATAATTTTTGCTCTCGTTTTTCTTATTATCTTTGAGGTTTTGTGATATTTAAATATTTAGAGTAATTCAGATTTTTTTATTAGAATTTTACTTCTTGCAAATACTATTTGAGTTTGATATTGAATGTTGTATTTAGTTACAATATAAAATAGAAATAGTTATGTATGATCTTCATAAAGAATGAATTATAAAAATCGCATAGAATTGTGAAATATTCTTTTTCATATCATTACGTTTCAAGACCTTCTGTTCTTTTTCTTAAAAAAATAGATATTTGTGTATGTAGTAGTATTGTATTTAACCCAGACGATTGGAAAAACACTTGTTCCGTGCTTTCACTGTCCATAGGTTTTTGGCATTGGTAGTTCTAACCGATTCGGAGTTAAGTAGGAAAAGATTCTAAAAACGACCCATATGGAAAATGGAACAACTAATTTTAAGACAAATCTAACATTTAATGTAGCTTCTCTACTTAATTTCTTCACCAATTTATGAAATATTTTCAATAGTTGCTGAAAGTACTTTTTTATTATCTCTTTTATTTACAACTGTTCAGTTAAACCATTTAATAAATTTGATGAATTTACAATAGTCGGCCGAAAAGGGACATTGTATATACTAAAAGAGCATGTTAGAAAAACAACTCAGTAGTTGTTTTTCCATTCGATATGAAATTCACAATATTTTATTGATAATTTTATAATTTTAACTATAATATTTACTTATAAAATGATTTTTTATGAATAATGATTAAAGTATTTCCTATCAGAACAGTTGATAGCTTAAATCCAGTGGCGCTTTTCTTTCCAATCTTTTTGGAAAGTTTTCTGTTATCAAGGAGTTTGCTAATAAATTTGGATGACTGATTAGCTTGTTTCTGTACTTGTGTGCTGTTTTTGTTATTATCGCATTTTGCATTTAAACATCTAAACTAAATGATTACACATATATCGTATTCTACAGGGAAAACTACATAAAATGTTGTTTGAAGAAAAGATGCAGAATGAAATTACGAATAAAACGATATATTAT